CCACATCAATTTATAGCAGCTCAATTCACAATAGTTAAGCTATGGAACCAATCTAGGTGCCCTTCAACAGATGAACGGATAAAGAAAATGTGGTATATTTTACACAATGGAATATCACTCAACCATAAAGAAAAATAAAATTATGGCACTTGCCAGTAAATGGTCGGATCTGGAGACTATCATGGGAAGTGAAATAAGCCAAACTCAAAAACCCAAAGGCTTAATGTTCTCTCTGATATTTGGATTCTCACATATAATAAGGAGGGGGGACAGAAGTTCACTGGATTAGACAAAGGGGAATTAAGGGAAGGGAGGGGGTGGGAATTGGAAAGACAGTAGAATGAATCAGACATAACTTATCTATGTTCTTATATGAATACGTCACCAGTGAAACTCCACATCATGTACAAACACAAGAATGGGATTCTTATTAGAATAAGTTATACTCCATGTATGTATGATATGTCAAAATATACTCTACTGGGCTGGGGTTGTGGTTCAGTGGCAGAGCACTTGCTTCACACATATGAGGCACTGGGTTTGATCTTCAGCATCACATAAAAAAATTATGAACAAAATAAAGGTATTGTGTTCAGCTACAACTAAAAAAATTTAAAAAATACACTCTTCTGTCATTTATATCTAAAAAGAACAAATAATTTTTAAAAAATGAACCACAATATTATGTATAGCTATAAGGCACTAATAAAATCCTTAAAATATTTCTATAAAAAGAATGTTATTAAGCAAAAACATAGTTACTATGATGTCGATTTTATTTAAAAATTCTTGGGGCTGGTGGCTCAAGGAGTAGCGAGCTCGCCTGGTATGCATGTGGCCGGGGTTCAATCCTCAGCACCACATACAAACAAAAGATGTTGTGTCCGCTGAAAACTAAAAAATAAATATTAAAATTGTCTCTCTCTCTCTCTCTCTCTCTCTCTCTCTCTCTCTCAAAAAAAATTTCTTATTTATTCAAACAAATTCATAGGAATAGTCATTGAAATATAAATCCAGTTAGGATTCTAAGCATTTTAATTTCTATTTTATGCATTTTTTTTTACATAACTCAAATGTTGCCCAGTCTTCTGGAGTCCCATAATGATCAAATCTCTTGAGCTTGAACTCTAGGTATCCAGACTATCTGTACACATTACACAGTACTTCTTTTCCAGGGTAACTACTTTCTTATATACCTGTTCACAAACCAGCCTAACTTATAGTCAATTTTCCCAATCCCTGAGGTCAACTTCTGCAGTTATTTTCTTTTTCCAGTATCTCGGCCCAAATACAACCATGAATATAAAGTTTAGTGTGTGGTAAGTGACTTCAATTAAAGTATTGGTGAGAGGGTAAGCATATTTCCATAGATGTCCAAATAGGAAAAATTTAAAACTGAATACATCTGACAGAGAAACTTTCACTGGCTCTTTTGTGCCCAGATTTCACCTTGCCTACCACAGTTTTGTTGGGTTCTGTCCTCAAGGCAAGGACTCATCCCTTCCATTTAACCCCTCTTTTCCTAATTTCTGAGATATTTAGACTCTTTCTGCAGACTGTTGTCTGAAAAAAATCCAACTTCTTTTTTTTAAATATGCAAAGCAATTTCATTTTCACCCTGGAGCTCAGCCTCTGCTCTAGACCCATCTTGCCTCTCAGAAATTGGGGAAACTTTTCTGAACAAAAACATCTATCCTGGATGTGCACCTTTAGCTAAGCAAAAATACAGCAAAAGCAAAGACACAGATTTTCCTTTCTTTGGAAATTTGATAATGATATCTGGAAATGAAAAAAAAATTCAAATCTTAGGTATGCTCCTTTCTAATTAGAGCAAAGTATAGAGGTAACTGCTTATTGAAAATACTTTCCAAATTTTCTACAATAAGCACACATTTCTTAGTAAAATAAGATATAACAAATATTACTTTAAAAACAAGCATTGCTGATTGATGAATGTCTTCAAAGTACCTTAAGTTTTCATTTCAGAAAATATCTCGTTTTTCAGTTCTGCTCCAATCTGGCTTCTTGCCTTAACTCCCCCTCCAAACTCAACCCTACCTTTTTCCCTTTCTCCTTTCCGGTTTGCATCTAACAGTAGTGGGATAAAAGCATATGAACTTCAAAAGGAGAGGAGAAAAATATTGTCTCTGAGTTAGAGGGAGAGTTCCATGAATTTAAACTCTGCTTGTCATAGAGGAAAACTATACATATGCCTTTTCAATTGTAAGTACTTGTTTAGATTCAGCCAAGCTGGAGTCAGATTTTAGAATACTCCACTGTATTTTACATAACATCTTCAGAAAAGGGGATTATATAGATGGTAGTTATTAGAGTTTAAATGCATAAAAATATCAATATTTTTAGATATATGTTTGTGGTTTTATATGTTATATTAATTCAAATTATTTTAGTAAAGTACAAATATATACATTTTTATATACATTTTGAACTTTTAGAAATAGAATTTGTCAGGTCTTAGCATATAAAACTCACTACCTAGAATAGATCTTTAATAAAATAACATGTTAAGTTTAAAAACTTATTTTTTAGAAATTTGCTCTTACTATTTGTAAGTGAAGGAAACCTATAATGTTAGTATATATATATATATATATATATATATATATATATATATATATATATTTCCATGAAACATAAGCTTACACTATTTATCATTTAGGGTTTTAGTTCTTAAACTGCTTAACACTGCCCCTTTGTGGCAAAGATTGATTACTGAAGTTTAGTTTAAATGTTCTAAAAACATTCTCCTTAATGGCTTATCATAACAGTGGCTTTTTGAATGCTGATGAATGCAGTCTTATTCTAAGTTTCCAAGATAGTATAAGTTGCACTCATAAGAAACTTTAAGCAATAATATATATTTTGAGACATGTTCCCTTAAATTGTGTTCAGTTTCACAATATTCAAACCCAATTGTAAACTTTCAAGAGTCAAATGCAAAAGAAACTCCTTAATCAGTCTTAGATTGCTAAACTACATTTCTAATTGTATTTTTAAAAAGCATCAACTGGAAATTTAATAAATAAAATTGCCCCTTCCTCTAATACAGCAAAAGCCAACATCATCCATCCCCATAATAAATTCTGCAAATTGTTTGATTTTGTAAAGCAAACAGCAAAATCACTTTGTCTCTTTCCTGGCATTTCAGTAAAAAACAAAACAAAAAAAAAACTGTGTTTTCCTTATTTTTTTCTGGATTTTAAGTTTTGATATCTTTGTCAAGCTACTTAATATCTCTGAATCTTAGTTTCTTTACATGCAAAATGGAGATAATAATATTGCCTACCTGTTAGATTGTTGGGAGGATTAAGTGAGTAAATACAAGTAAAGTGTTCCTTAGAATTTTGTCTGACACCACAGGAAGCACAATTAAATTTAGATCTCATTTTTTATTACAAATATTGTGAAACAAAGTCACTAACATACCTACATCTAATTTTTATTAGGCTTGGAATAGTTCTGTGATATGATTTGGTTTACCTGTCATGTTAAGAAGATGGACTTTCTAGGTACAATTTATAGACAGCATGGGTCTAATGGTGATTGGGCTTTCTGGTTTTAATTTAAAACTTCCATCTATAGGATGGCATTGGATCCTACTCCCATTCTGACATTTACTATACTTGCAAAAATCCATAAATATTTTAAAGTTCTGGTTTGTTTAATAAAATGGAAGGAAATATGTATATATCACACAGTTACTGTCATGAGTAACTGAAAGAATGCATATATAAATAACTTAGCACAGTGTGAGATTTAGGATAGGCTCAACTGAGTCCCATGGTATGTATGAATAAAAAGTCAACTAAAACAGTATTAAGACTAGTTTCATAAAATACACTATTAAGAAATAAGTCAGCAGATAAAATGATGGAAAGAATACTGGGCCTGAGGAGGATGAGGGGTAAAATGACACTATATGTGATGTCAGAGATATGGGGATGGAGAATGAGTACAGTGTAAGAGGCAGGATGGTGTATCTGGCAAAAATCCTGGACAGGGAGTCAAATAGACTTGAATCTAAATTTAATCTGACTACTGTCATGAGGCCTTTGAAAGTTTGCTAAGTCTCTTGAGACAGTTTCCTCAGAGTGGGGATTAATAGCATTGTCATAAGATTAAATTAGAATATGCAAGTGGTGCACACTGAGTCCAGGTCATAAAATAATAAATAGTAACTGTAGCTATGTTATTTTTAAAGAAATATTTTTTTTTGCATTCAGGTCTTGAGCATCTCATTGGGACAACTCCTTTAAGCATTCTAGTTTCTACTATATGTGAAAATCATAACAGAAATAGGATATTCTATAAGGACTTGGACACACAGGGAAAGTGAGGTGGGTGGGGACAAGTGTCTTTAAATTGGTTGTTCAGAATAGCAGACTTCTTGAAGAGATAGCTAGGAACATACTCTGAAAGTCCTCACCTCTGCCATCACCCTTTCAAAATTTTAGAGAAGAAAATAAAGTAGTACTCAAGTGGGATTCACCCTTCTTCCCACCCTGCCCCCACCATAAGTGGGTGGGGCCACTGTAGGTATGTAAATATGGGCATTGTGATGTCATCATTATGACATAATTTTGATAAGGTGACTGTATAAGGTGGGTAAGGTGGTAACATTCCCTAGGTTCATTTTCTTCTTCCCCTTCCAGCTGGCTGGTAGGGAAATGCCAAATGCCAAGCTTAAACCCAGCCAAGCTTGTAGCTGTGATCACTGGTGAATACATCTCCAATAAATCTGAGGCATCAATAACCTTCCTTAGGTAACTCTCTCTAATTTCTAAGAGGCATATCTTGAAGCATAAGTCAAGTGAAGAAAAACTAAAAGAAGCTCACAGCCTCTCACTGTAGCACTGCGCTTAAGAGATCCTGTTCCATCAGGATAGTTATTGGCCAGCTAGTCATCTGCCAAACACTCAAAACATTAACCAGCCCTTGGCCAACTCATCTTCAGTCAACCAGGCAACAATCAACTGTGCATGAATCAATCAGGTATGAAACAATCAAGCTTATCAAACATGAACCAAACAGGAATAAGCCAGCTAGGCACAAGCTTACTTAACATGAACCAACTAGTTGGGAACCAACCCAAAACAAGCCTACATGATGTGAACCAACCAGGAGGGAAAAAATCAGGTTTCAGCCAACCAGGCGTGAAGTTATCACACATGAATTTACTAAACACAAACCAACCAGACATGTGGCAACCAAGCATGAGCCCAACATGTATGAGGCAACCAGGCCCAAGACAACTAGGCATGAATGTACTGGATATAAACCAACCAAGCATGAAACAACCAGGAATGTGGCAACCAAGCACATGCCAACCATGTGTGAGAGAACCAGGCCCAAGCCAACCAGGCATGAATCTATTTGACACAAACCAAACAGGCATGATGCAACGAAGCATGAGTCAACCAGGTATGAGAGAATCAGGTCTAAGCCAACCAGGCATGAATCTACTGGACAAAAATCAACCAGGCATGATGCAACGAAGCATGAGTCAACCAGGTATTAGAGAACCAGGCCCAAGCCAACCAGGTGTGAATCTACTGGACACAAACCAACCAGGCATGAGACAACCAGCCATGTTACAATCAAGCATGAGACAACCAGGTATAAGAGAACCAGTCCCAAGACAACTAGGCATGTTGCAAAGAAGCATAAGCCAACCAGGTGTGAGAGAACCAGACCCAAGCCAACCAGGCATGAATCTATTGGACATAAACCAACCAGGCATGAAACAACCAGCCATCTTTCATCCAAGCTTGAGCCAACCAGGTAGGAGGCAAACAGGCCCAAATCAACCAGAAATGAATCTACTGGACACAGTCCAACCAGGCATCTTTCAACCAAGCATGAGCCAACCAGACAGGAGGCAAACAGGCCCAAATCAACCAGGAATTAACCTACTGGATACAGTCCAACCAGGCATCTTTCAACCAAGCATGAGCCAACCAGAYAGGAGGCAAACAGGCCCAAATCAACCAGGAATTAACCTACTGGATACAGTCCAACCAGGCATCTTTCAACCAAGCATGAGCCAACCAGATAGGAGGCAAACAGGCCCAAATCAACCAGGAATTAACCTACTGGATACAGTCCAACCAGGCATCTTTCAACCAAGCATGAGCCAACCAGAYAGGAGGCAAACAGGCCCAAATCAACCAGGAATTAACCTACTGGATACAGTCCAACCAGGCATCTTTCAACCAAGCATGAGCCAACCAGATAGGAGGCAAACAGGCCCAAATCAACCAGGAATTAACCTACTGGACACAATCCAACCAAGCCTGAAACAAGCAGGCATGTGGCAATCAGGCATGAACCAACCAGGTATGAATCTACTGGACACAAATCAATCAGGCATGTGGCAACCAGGCATGAAGCAAGCAGACACCAGGCAACTATTCCAGGACCAACGAAGCACGTGGCAACCAGATATAAGCCAACAATTCCCAAGCCAACCAGTCATGAACCAAATAGGCACATGGCAACCATACAAAAGCCAACCAGGCACCAGCCAATCAGGAATAAGCCAACCAGATATGAGCCAACCAGGCATGAGCTTTTCAGGCATAAGCCAACCAGGCAGGAGCCAACAAATTTCTGGTCAACCAGGGCCAGTCCAATTAGTCAGGAATCAATCAGGCAGGATCCAGTCAGGTATGAGCAAATTCGAAAAGGCTAAATCACCCACAAGGAAATCAAGCATGAATTCTTTCCGAATAAGACCTGCAGAGGCTCGAGACTGCCCAGAAATTCTGCGGCTGATTAAAGTAAGCCTGTCTCTCCTAATTCCTTGGATCTTCATTGCATTAGTGTAGGGCTGCAAGAGAGCAAGGAAGGCATAGTCGGGGTTTGAGTCCTGGCATGGCTAATTATGACACATGTACAACATTCTGGAAGTCACTAAATCTCTCTAATCTTAATTTTTCAACATATAAAGTCAATATTATATAATAATTTTCTATCAAAAAAGATTGTTGCAATGATTCAATAAGAATATAATTACATGTAAATTACTTGTCATATAGTAAGGGGCTCAAAGCGTCATTGTTAATTTAGAGACTGAACATGTTGCCTCTCCTGGGGGAAATTTTAACATTAAATTTCAGAGAAGATAAAATGCATAAACAAATAAATTACAGGATTTCAGATATTAATAACTAAGATTTTGGTGTAGGTAGTTTTGTTTCTTCTAAGATTATACCTTATTGTAGAATCTGATGACTGAGTTCCTAAAAAACAATATTCTCACCCAACAGATTTTCCATACAATTTGAGAAAGTTGATACCAGAAGTCCATCAACACACAACTCCTAGAATCAAGGAGTTGAATTGAAAATTTCTTATGTAAATGTTTATTTTAATGGCTTTTCTTTAAATTATTCCAGTGTAGTAAAGGGAGCAATCTAATAGCCATAGTTTTGTGCTGAATTTCTGCAGCACTGAAGGCAATAGTTTATGTGATGAACAACCAAAACAATTCTATATAAAGATATATAAAAAGCAGTAGCCACATTTATATTCCCTCTGATTAGAGAGCAATGTTTATATTTCTTTTCATGTATTATTAATTTACAAAATTGTACAAATTAATGGGTTTGACTGTGGCATTTTCATGCATGCATATTTTGCTTTGATTGTATCCACCCCTTCTATTACACACTACTCTTTCTTGTGCTCCCTTTTCTCCCCTCATTCCTTGTCCTCTTTCCTTTTCCTACTACCTAACTACTTTCAGGTCCTTTTTTGTAGTTTCTACACATGAGAAGTTGAGAAGAAATGTGACACTTGTCTTTTTGTGTCTGGCCTATTTTGCTTAACATAATGAGCCTCTAATTCCATCAATTTATCTACAAATATAATTCCATTTTTTATAGATGACTTTTGTGTGTCTACCATATTTCCTAATGACCAAAATAAATATCCACAGTTTTGTAGTGAAATCCATTTGTTGAAGTGATGTTAGGCCCTGTCATAGGTTAGTAAGAACTTATTTATGTATTTTTCCAAGATTTCATTATATACTTTCATCCTCATAAGTTTTGACATCATTTCTCTTAAATGGCATTACTCTTCATGGAATCAAAATACTATAACCAACAGGTTAATTATTCCAGGTAGGATCCATATTTTTCCACATAGTAGAAAATAGTTTGTGGCTACTGAATCTGACACCTGTTTGGCAATTAATAAATTTATTATTGAATGACAGTGAAGCTCTCTACTTGGACAAAATGCATTTCTTAGTTTCCCAACAATTTTTCATTGCCATTGCTGGATGAAAACACACCACTAGACTCCCCATTGAAATGAACATGTATCTGTGAAGAAGTTCCTTACTATATTTATATTTTAATCTGCCTCATATCCTGAAAACACACCAGAAGTTTATTGGGAGTTATTTAATGTGTAGTCACTGTAAAAAATAGAAAAACTAAATGATTTTTTATGCATCACAGAAATATGTATAGTAATTAGTTTTGAGCTTTATGTTCTTTATATATGTTTTTTCCCTTAACTCCTGCTCATTGTTAAATATGCAAAACATTCTCTTCTTGCAAAGGAGTTTAGAGTTTGCCATCATAATAATTTCTTTGCTGAATGTATTGTAGGTTTTATTTACTGTACTGCCACAAAAATTCCTCAAAGTATCTTCTGGATGCAACCATTTTAATCTTAACCACACCACAACATTATCTAGGGATCTAGTCAAGTCATCAACAGACAGACATAACTTCTTGCTTACCAGACTTTCCATCTAGAATATTTTATTGTAGTGGTTTTCAAAGTGTGGTTTTGGTCCATTGGTGTTACATAGATGACTTCTGAGTAGTATTAATATTTCATTTTGTTTATAATATAAATATTGAAGATCATGTACTAAGTGCTTTAAAAGATATAGAGATTATTGAATTACTGTCTCTGCCCTAAAGGAAGTTAAAGGGTAATATGGGAGGGATGGATGCAAATAATTATTGAACTCTCTGCCAAGTCCATTCTCCAGATAGAAGCCAAAATGTTCAAAACCCAATTTGGCTTCTGGTTCTATTGAGTACAAAAATCCAAACTTCTTACTAAGGCTCTGCATAATCTGGCCTCTTGTTTCAGTCAGCTTTTTTCACAGCTGTGACCATAAGACCTGACAAGAACAATTTTAGAGGAGGAAAAGTTTATTTGGAACTCATGGTTTCATAGGTCTAAGTCCATAAATGGCCAACTCTATTACTGTGGGCCACAGGTATGCAAAAACATCTGGCTGAAGGAAGGATTACACTGAGGAAAGCCATCTCAGGATAACACACCAGGAAGCAAAGAGAGAAGGAGAATGCTCTCCAGGGAAAAATATATACCTAAAAGTCATGCCCTCAGAGACCCACCTCCTTCAGCCACACCCTACCTGCATATAGTTACCTTCCAGTTAATCCATCCCCTTTTTTTTTTTTTTGTGGTACTGGGGATTGAACCTAGGTCCTTGTACATTCAAGGCAAGCACTCTACAAACTGAGCTACATCCCCAGCCCCCCAGTTAATCCATTCAAGTGGACTAATGCACTGATTAGGTTAAGGTTGTCATAGCTCAATCATTTCACCTTTGAACTTTTTTGCATTGTTTCACATATGAACTTTTCGAGAATACCTAATATCTAAGCCATAACACCTTTGCTATCCTACTTAACTATATAAGTATATAAACATCCTAGTTACATATTTTAAAACCCTTTTCCATTATAAATTCCACGCAATTCAGTCAACATCCTCAAGTTTACACATGAAAAGAAACCCCAAAGTGAAGAGTAATGAGGATATATGATCCCTACCAGATATTATAAAGCTGTAAGTAATTAAAATACTATGATCTTTGGTGCATAGTTAGATCAGTGGAACCTAATAGAGAAGTCCTCTTTATTATATATGATAATATGGTATATGATAAAAGGTAGATTTCAAGTCAGTGAATAAAAGATGGCTATTCAATGAATGGCATTAGGACAAGTGGGGGAAAAAGATAAAGGTGATATTCTACCTCATTTATTCAGCCTAAAAATATCCATATAGTAGATTTTAGTTTCTTGAGCTATACTATTCCTTTGTGTTTTTCCAAAAGGAAGTCAGCATACTCTATAGAAACATGCATAACCATGTTAATATAGCATAATTCACAATAGTCAAGTTATGGAAACAGACTTGGTGTCCATCAAAAGAAAAATGAATAAAAAATGTGAGATACACACAAACTCACACACACACACACATACACACACACACACACACATGGAATGTGTGTGGGAAAAACAAAAGAAAATAAAGGGACATCATGAAAGTAGAAGGAACACCTTTAGCATAGAGAAAGAGGATCAGGCAGAGAGAGGAAGGAAGGGGAATTACTATGAAGTGAAATTTACTAAATAATATTGTATACATGTATCAATATACCTGAATGAAACCCATCATCCTATATAATGAATAATAAATAATAATAATGATATAATTAATAATAAATAATAATAATAAAGAAAACAAGAGTATCTATTTTTATAACTTCCCAAGCATGAGAAACAAATCTTGAAGAAAAGAATTTGAATATGCAAAAATGATAATAGCAAATAGCCACATTAAAACATCTAAAGTTGCTGGGCATGTAGCACATGGCTGTAATCCCAGGAGGCTGAGGCAGGAGAATTGTAAGTTTGGGGCTACCCTCAGCAAATTAACAAGGCATTAAGGAAATCAATGAGACCCTTTTCAAGATAAAAAATAAATATAAAGGACTAAGGATGTGGCTTAGTAGTAAAGCACCCCTAGATTCAGTCCATGGTACCAAAAAAAAAAAGTCTAAAGTTAATTTGGCAAAACACCTCATAGGCAAACACATGATCAACTTTTCTGTAAAGTCTACAAGCTAATTTTGTGATCTTTGTGTCACAAAATTGTGACCTTTATGTGTGAGGCATTGACTCTATTATATCTACATCAATCTATCATCTATCTGTTCTATCTATGTCTTTATTATTATGTTGCATTGATGTTTTAGATTTTTAGTTTCTAGACAACTGGATTTAAGTTTGAATCACTTTTAACACTTCCCAGGACATCGTGTCCATAAATGTTCAATACAAACTCCATGATGATTATCGCATTGAGAATTAATTACTGAATCATAAACTGAAGGTTTTCTCTACTTTGACAGGAGCTGGCTGCCTGTGAAAATATGTTAGATGCAGTGAAGTTAACAGCAATGGGTAAGATGTTTTGTGGTATTTTTAGAGCAAGAAAAGTAAACATGAATGAATGCACACAGGACTATGGAAGTTGCTGTCATTGGTACATAAAATGATGCCATTAGTAAACTATCCATGCACATGACATAAATTTAATAGTTTTACCAGTGCACCATTTTTAGCATAAGACTGATATTTAACAGCACTAACACATTTACAGGTGCAATAGACTTCAACTGGTTTTCAAAACACAGAACAAGAAGAAATATTGGTCAAAAAAAGAATATAATTTAAAACTCAGTATGTTGGAAGGAGCTTGATGCAATGAAATGGACAAAAGCAAAATGATTTAAAATATTTTCAAAGGATTTAACACATTTAATAGCATGCAATACTAATGGGATAAGTTAGTGATTTATTATGAATTAGAACTTTAAGATAATAAACAGGAAGATTAAAAGATGATTAAAGTATATAAAATTACAAATGGAAAAGACTAAAGTGTTATTTACTAAACCATAAAAGAGCATAATGAAGGATAACTCCCTGAAGATAAATACTTGAGAATGCATGTAATAAATTGAGAACATTATACCAAGGAGATAATAGGTTTCACCGTAATACTGTGTGACAGATTCAAAAAGATATTTGAATTCAGAAGGATGTTAGAATGGCTTGTGAGAGCTTTTGTGCCATGCCTTAACTAACCAACCTTAGGAGATTTGGTGAAAAATAGAACCCTGAGCTGCATAGATCATGGATGTCATCTCATGTGATAATTCTTCTGTTTTTACACTTGCTAATAAACATCATTAGAATGTTAACTAAAGAGTAATTTTGTTGGTTTAAAGGAAACACTAAGAAACACAAAGTTGAAAGTAATGGACACTTATGAAAGCAGTGGTCAAACTAAAACAGTATTACTATGTTTATATATAATACTACTTCATTGTGGTTTGGGAAAATACTGCTTGGTCAGGGTAATCTATAACAGTTCATCATTTTTTGTGGGGGGGGTACTAGGAATTGAATCTAGGGGTGCTTAACAACTAACCCACATCCCCAACCCCCCCCTTTTTGAGACAGTGTCTCACTAGTTGTTTGGGGCTTCATTAAATTGCTGAAGCTGGCTTTGAATTTGCTATTCTCCTGTCTCAGCCTTCCTAGCCACTGGGATCACAAGTATGTGCCACGACAACTAGTTATAAAAGTTAATCTTAAACAAAAGAGCAATAATAAAATACTTTATGTACTACATCTTCCAGTCTTAGGATTCAGTATTCCTTTGAATGGCAGTTATTTTTTAATATCCTCAGTCCTTTTTTTTTTTAAATCTTAGTCCTCGTGTTTTTATAGATGCTGGTAAAATACTTGATATTTTCTCTATTTTTACCTCTACTATAAAATTTTGTAAAATGTAGTTAAATATATGCAAATTATCTTTTTACCATTCCTAGGTGTACAATTCCTGATATTAAATATATTCATAATGTTGCAAACCATTACGGCTATTCATCTCCAGCATTTGTCAAACTGAAAATCTTTAACCATGAAAACTTTCTATTGCTGATATCCTTCCCCTCTAACCTCTTGTAGCTTCTAATCTATTTTTTGTCTCTATTAATTTGCCTCATCTAGGTGCTCCCATACAACTGGAAGCATATAACATTTGTCTTTATATGTGAGGATTATTTCACTTAGCATAATGTTTTCAATTTTCATCAAGTTGTAGTCTGTATAAGAATCTCATTCCATTTTAAGACTGAATAACATTCCATTGTCTGTATAAACCACATTTTGTTATCATTTCGGTTGTTTCCACCTTTTGACTATTGTGAATAATGTTGCCATGAAACATTGATTCACAGTGTTTCAATCAATTGACTAGATATGTGTTTATTTTGGGGCTTCATAGTCTGTTCTCTTTGTCTCTCTGTCCTTTTGCAAGTACTATCTGGGCTCCTGCTGCCAATTTATTTGGGAATATACATAGCTAGAAGTAGCATTTCTGGATCATGTGGTAATTCTTTTTTTTTTTTTTTTGAGGGACCTTCAAAATGTTTTCCACAGTCGCTGCACCATTTTATATTCCCATCAGCAACACACAGGGTTTCAAATTCTCCACATACTCACCAACACTTAATTTATTTTTTTCTGGTTTTGTTTTGTTTTGGGATAATGATCATTCTAATGGGTACAAAGTGATATCTCATTGTGCTTTTGGTTTGTGTTGTGCTCTTTTATGAGAGCAAGCATCTTGGCATGTGCTCATTGTTCCTTTGATATCTTCTTTGAGAAATGTCTATCATGTCTTTTACCCATTTTTGAATTGTGTTGCATGAATTCCTAAATATATTCTTGATATTCCTCTTTATAATATTTCCAAGTATTTTCTTCCATTTTGTGATTTTTACCTCCTTTGATATTATCCTATCATACACAATTTTTTTAATTTTATGATGGCCAAATTGTCTATTTTGTTGTTGTTGCCTTGTGCTTTTGGTATCATAGCTAAGAAATCATTGCTAGATTCAATGTCTTGATGATCTTCCTTGATTTAGTAAACTGTAGTTTAAAATATATGTAAATTATTCCAAAATTTTTATAGTTTTAGCACTTACATTGAGGTTTTGATACATTTCAAATGAAATTTTGTACATGGCATGAAGTAACTGATCAACTTTGCTATTTTGCATATAAATATGCAGCTTCCCCAGCACCATTTGTTGAAGACAGTCCTACCCTTAATGAGTGATCTTGGCATCTTCTCAGAAATCAATTGACCAGTGCTGGGAGTGTGGTTCAGTGGTAGAGTGCTTGCCTAGCACGTGTGAGGCACGGGGTTCAATCCTCAGCACCACATAAGAATAAATAAACAAACAAATAAACAAATGGGATTGTGTGTGCCTACAACTCTAAAAATTTAAAAAAGAAATCAATTGACCAGATTATGTGTTTATTTGGGGGCTGTATAATCTGTTACATTTGCCTATCTGTTCTTTTGTAAGTGCTATAACTTTTTAGAAAATTTCAAAGTCAGGAATGGTGAATCTTCCAATGTGCTTTAGTTTTAAAAGTTGTTTTGGCTATTTGGGGCCCTATATACAAAAGAATTTTGCAATTTTGAGAGACTGTGTTGAATACATAAATCACTTTAACTAATATTGACCTAACAATGTTAAGTACTCTATCCATAAATATGAGCTGCCTTCAATTAGGTCTTCTTTAATTTCTTTCACTAAAAATTATAGTTTTCAGTGTAGTCTCCACCTTATCCACAGTCAATATGTTTCAAGACCCTCAATATGATGCCTGAAACAATAGATAATACAAAATCCTAGATATACTGTTTTTCCCTTTTACATATGTATGATGAAGTTTAGTTTATAAATTAGGCATAGTAAAAGATTAACAATAATAAAGTAATAATAATAACACTTGGTTTATATTCTAATATATGGCATACCTTGGAGAAGTTCCATCTACACTTGAAAAAAATGATAATGATGCTGTTTATAGGTAGAGCATTCTTTATGTCTGCTAGTTTCAATACGTTTATGGTGTTTTCATGTCCTCTATTGCCTTATTCAACTTGTTTGTTTTATACATTATTGAAAATGGGGTATTGAAGCCCCCAACTTTTATATTACTGTATATATCCTCCTTCAGTTCTGTCAATGTTTTCTTCATATATTTTGAAGCTGCAATATTTGTTGTATGTTTATAATTGCTATGTATACTTGGTGAATTGACCCCTTTATTTTTACTTAATATCCTTGCCTCTTACAGATATTTTTTGTTTTGGTTTTGGTACTGGGGACTGAACCTGGGGTGATCAACCACTGGCTACATCCCCGACCCTTTTCATTTTCTTTTAAATATTTTGAGACAGGGTCTTGCTAAGTTGCAGGGGCTGGCTATGAACTTGGGATTTTCCTGCCTCATCCCTCTAACTTGCTGGGATTACAGGTGTGTGCCACCATGCCTGGCCTCTGAAAATAATTTTGGACTTAAACTCTATTTTGCCTGATGCTAATATAGCCACCCCAGCTCTTTTGGTTATTTACACAAAATTATCTTTTTCCATTATTCCATTTTCAACCGATTTTTTTGCTTTAATATGTAATTTCTGGTGAGTTTATTTTAAAACCTGGAAAGCCTAGAAATGAAAATACATTTACAATTCTATCTGTACACATTTGACAAAGACAGAATGGGAAAGTACCTGGGAATAAAATGTCTACATAATATATCAAAGTTAACATAACTTATTATGGCTTTATTCATTTCATGTGCCCATTAACATAACTTCCTATCTCATTCTATTGGTGGTTTGAGACTTGCATTTTCAACCTATTTTTATCTTTGAATCTAATATGCGTTACTTGTAGATAACTAACATATAGTTGGATCATGTCTTTTAAAAATTTTATTCATTTTGCTAATCTTTGTGTTTTGATTGGAGTATTTTATCCTTTTACATTTTAAGTAACTACTGAGGGCATGGAGTATAACTCAGTGGTATAGTGCTTGCTTAGCATGAGTGAGACCCAGGCTTGATCCCTAACACTGCAAAAATTAAGAAAAGACAACTGATAAGATTGTCTTCTGTCAATTGTTTACATGCCAAAAGTTATATAGCTATTTCTTATTTCTCTTTTCCCTTTGTATTTAATTAATATTTTTAGTGAAGCACTTTGATTCTAAGGATTTGCTTGTTTCTTGATTGCTGTAGGCTGTCCCTGTCAGGGATCAGCCTGAGTTGAAAATTTATTATGATCTTAGGTTTTGTTCGAGCACATCTTTCCCTAGTCATTCATGATGGCTTTCTAAATTCCCCTTTGTGTTTTGTTTTCAATGTCCAACAAAACAGGTATTACTCTTTTAAATTTCCTGTAAACCACTTCAGATCATGAGGCTAGAACAATGGCAACCAACCTTAAGTCCTCACCTAAGTGGTCAGAGTGGCAGCCCAGAGTTAGAACATAAAACATCAGGGCTGGGGTTGTAGCTTAGTGGTGAGGCACTTTCCTTGCATGTGTGAGGCAATGCATTCGATTCTCACACTTATAAATAAAATATAATAAATGTCCATCAACAACTAAAAATTTAAAAAAATAGAATGAAATGCTTCTTTTTTTTAAACAAAAGAACATAAAACATCTATATTTTTTAAATGAAAACACTGGCCACCCACCCTACAGCAATCTGCTCCATAAATATAGGTTGCCCGCCCCACAGCTGCCTGCCATGGGATGGGACAGGAGTAGTGAAGGCCAGGCAGCTGCCACCATACTGAAGGCTGAATTCCCCCTAAATTAACTGCAGTTTACCATTCAGGCTGTCTCTCTCTCTTTTTTTTTTTTTTTTTTTTAGAGAGAGTGAGAGAGGAGAAAGAGAGAGAGAGAGAGAGAATTTTTAATATTTATTTTTTAGTTCTTGGCGGACACAACATCTTTGTTGGTATGTGGTGCTGAGATCGAACCCGGGCCGCATGCACGATAGGCGAGCGCGCTACCGCTTGAGTCACATCCCCAGCCCTCAGGCTGTCTCTTAGCAGCTGAAAGTGTTCAAATAATCTCCAGAGCTCCAAAATATTCACATCACAATTTCCATCCCGATGAAAAGTCAAATTCCTGGAGCTTTTTATTCCCCCCCTCAGCTATAACCTTTCTTTGTATGTAAATTGATATTTCAGATTTACTGAGAGATGGCTTTGGGGAGAATCCCCTTTTCTACTGTCTGATTGCTGAAGTAAAAAATCATCAAAAACCATCAGGTAAAGTATATCGTCCTTTTCTAATTTTACCTGAAGCATATTTTCTATGTTCTGAAAACAAAGTACAATTTCATAGCCCATACTACTACACCATTAATAAGTATATATGTATAAACCTATTTTATGTTTTAAAAAAGAAAACATATGCTATGTACATGTTTGCATTGCTATTTAAAATTTTGGAAGAACATGCAAACTATATAAAAGAGTGCTTATCTCTTAAAGATTGTTATTGTAGGTGAATTAAACTTTCTGTATTATACATTTATATACTGTTTGATATTTTATCCCATGAGCATCTATTACTTTAATAGTTAAAACAAACACCAAAATATTCTATTTTGGGGAAAAGATATTTCTTTTTTATTGATTTAAAAAAAAATAAATGACAGCAGAATGCATTACAATTCTAATTACATGCATGCAGCACAATTTTTCATATCTTTGGTTGTATATAAAGTATATTCACACCAATTCATGTCTTCATACATGCACTTTGGATAATGATGTCCATCACATTCCACCATCCTTGCTAATCCCCTGTTCCCTCCCTTACCCTCCTTCCCCTCTGCCCTATCTAGAGTTCATCTATTCTTCCCATGCTCCCAACCTACCCCACTATGAGTCTAAAATTCAAAGCATTAACCTGTTAGTGACTCCTCTTCTCTCTTCTTAGGTAAAATGGCCGTTGGATTTGCCATGTACTACTTCACGTACGACCCCTGGATTGGCAAGTTACTTTACCTAGAGGATTTTTATGTCATCCAAGAATACCGAGGTAAAACTAGGATTATGTTACTTAAAAATAATTTAGAAACTAAAAAGGCATATATTAATTTGTGCAACAGAGACAGGATTTAGTATAAATATGCTGGCTTTGCTATGCAACTCATCTCTATTTCATGAGCCTGATCACTATGCTAGTGCAGTTAAGATTCAATCACGAATTAGAAAACCATTTTATTAGTGTGTATTAATGTTTTAATAAGCCATGTTATCATAGCTATGCTTTTATTTTTAAAAATGCTTTAAATTTTAGGTTGGTTTTTAATATTCATAGATTAGAAAAATGGCATGTTATAAAACAATAGTGGCAGAGTCCTATTATAAGACAATAGTGACAGAGACTTGTTTCCTTCTTCATTGATCTTTAAAATAAACCCAAACTATTTTCTATTGTCTTTGGTACTACATTCCAATTAGGAAAAAAGGACATATGTGTTTATGAGTTGAGTTTTAACATACACTCTTAAGAATATATCACAACCTGATACAGGGTTTTATATTCTATTCTTTTTAAACTAAAGCAAATAACAAGGTAAGTGGAATTTTTCATCTTATGGTTTTCTTTTGGCATTATCTATTTAACAGGCCTAGGTATTGGAGCTCAAATGCTTAAGAGGCTAAGTCAGGTATGTATTATAATTTGTACTGATGTTCTATACATTATTCTGTTCTTCTTCAAATATTACTCAACAGGGCATAAATTAGGAAATTTAATTTCACTACTTAAACATAAACCTAATGTGCTTCACATTTTTATCTAAATTAAACTGGATTTTCAAATCAAATACTCATAAGTTACATGAGTTATATTTAATTAAAATTGACTTCTGTGTAATCCACAAACACACTATATACCTTTTTTTTGTAATCAAGTAGAAGCAATCAAGATGGAGATTAGATGGCAACTTTATTCACAAAATAGGTCTGCAATGTGAATGACAACAATATAAAACAAATAACCTTTTTCATTTTGGAAATATGTATGAGAACATGTGTGCTGTTAGGTAACTTTATCTGTAGAATAAAGACTTTGCAATCAAATTTGGGCTTTTAAAGAGAGGGGTCTTAATACTTAGAAAAGTGGAACTTCTTTTTCTTTTTGTAGCTATAGAGAAATCCAAAAGATAATGATTGTATTCTTATTTCCAAATATTATGCGCATATAATGTCTTTCATATAGAACTTCAATGAAACAATTGTTAATTAAGACTATATTTTAAATAAAAGTAATCTTTGTTTATTGTTTTTAAACAGATAGCCATCATGAGTCAATGTAACTGCATGCACTTTCTTGTTGTCATTTGGAACCAGGCTTCTATTGAGTACTACACAAGTCGAGGGGCTTTAGACCTTTCCTCTGAGGAGGGGTGGCATTTGTTCAGGTTTAACAGAGAAGAACTCATGGACATGGCGGAGGAAGAATGAAAGAGGCCTCATAACAACTCATTCCAACATAGGCTCCAACATCTGAATGTCACCTGAGTCGAACAGCAGTTTGATACTGAATGTTGTAAAATACAACAAATGATAATATTCTTGTTTGAGCAGATCTTTTACTTTGAAATAGATTTTGCAGATATAGTTAGCTCTGCCTTATCCAAACTAATATACTAATGGATAGAAGCAGTGCTGATAATCCAAATGAAAAGTAATTTCACAAGCACTTATACTTGGCTTTGGCCTGTTTATCAATTATCTACTATAGTTCGACAAATTTATATTGCTAATTCTTTCACATTTTAACATATTTGAGATTGGGATAGCATTATGATCAACTGGCAAGTTTGTTTTTCTTTTTAAAGGTCTATGATGTGTTTTATATTTGATGAAATATAGGTACTTTTGAATAGAAACAGATCTCAGATTAAAATAGTCATTTCACATACTGGTCCTAAATCCTGAAGCGCTTACTTATGAAAAACTAGCAAATGAATTGAATCTTTAATTTGAGAAGCTTTAAGCTTTTAGCACCACTACCTCCTTCATTTTATCACAGAACTACATTCCATCTCTGAGCATCTATAGCTCTTTGGTTGTACATATTAGGGCAGATATCTTATATAACATGGTTATTTGTATGTTTATTTCTTTCATGGTAGAGTAAGCTCTTTACTAAATTATAATTATTGTTATCCTGTAACCAGAAACAAACAGCATGGCAGCACATGAGAGTTCTATGTATTAGGCATTTCATGGGCACAGAAGAATAATTCAGCCACACACACAAGAATCCTTGTCCATGAGAAAATACTAATTATAATAAATATGGTGGGCTATTATATTTATAAATACCAAGTACAAGGGAATGCAGAAAAAGAACATTGAAATCCTACCTTGGAGAATTGAGAAAGAGGACACTGGAATTGGATTTGGAGGATGGGTACAGAGTTAGAATATGGAGCAAGATGAAACAGAAGAGCATTCTAAGAGGAAACATTCACAAAGGCAGAAAATACAGAGGAATAAGTTACAAGTCATGTTCATCAAGCAAGTGGTTGTCATGAATACAATAGAACATATATTAGTATTATGGTAAATAGTGAGAAGGAAGATAGGATGGTTACTAATGAGCTATTGTACCAATTCTATAATTGCCTAATTCCAGGCTTTAAATAGATATTTGTTTAAGCTACTACTAGCTTGTTAACTTGCAAGCAGAACAGATTAATAGTGAGCATATAAACCAGGAACCTACTCTGATAACCCAAGAAAGCAATGATGAAGACCTGAATAGCAGCAATAATAGGATTAGAAAATACAAAGGTAGAACAAATTTGATAAATAAGAAATAAGCAAAAGGAGACAGACACAATTTACTTTTAGGTATATTGACACTGAGATATCTATGGGATGTTAGGTGAACATAACTAAAAAAATTATTTGAAATATGGGTCTACAAACTAATAAATAATTAGAAATTATAGGTCTACAACACTGGAGAAATATGAGGGCTAAACATATGAATGAAGCCAGGGAAATTGGTTGAATGAAAATGAGAGGGCATATAGAATGAGAAAAGCTCAGAAGGGATGCAGATTGAGAAGCCTTAACATTTGTAGAAAAAAATTGAAAGTAGGGAATTTAGAAAGGGACATTAATTACTCATTAAAGAAGTATGGAAATCACAGAAAGGAGCTCAAGAGAAGAAAGCTTGAGAGAAAAGATAGAGTTAAGAAAAGGTGTTTGACCTTGGTAATTTTTGCTTTTGGATAAAGAAGAGCTAAAGATTTTTAGAGGTTGAGGAAAAGAAATAAGAGGAAAGAAAAACCAAAGACTGACAATTCAACAGAATGGCATATCATTCTAGTTAAAGACATGAAGGAATGAGATTAGGGATACCAATAGTATCATCAGTTTTAGGAAAGGGGGATTCGTGACTGAAAAGGATTACGTCTACAAGGTAGATATGAAGTAGTTGGGAATGGTTATGTCTAATATATTTTATGCTCTATGAAACAGGAAAAGCAGTCAACTTTAATAGGTATAAGAGGCTTGAGAAGAATAAAATGTTTTTAATATTTCTCAAGAACAGAGAAGTAAACTGCATAGGGGCCAGTGGAAGAACTGCTAAGTAGCATTAGGGGGGCCCATGAAGGACATGGTCCTTTTAAACAGAGATGTTTTCAGATATTTAAAGGGATTTAGCCTTAATAAAACAAAAAGAAAAAGCCAAACAAATGTTCCATAAAATATGGATATTTTATTCCATGTCTCAGAAATGAAAAAGAGAGGAAGAACACATCCTTCTACACACCATTCTAATTTAACTGACATTATATATGCACATATTTTCAGATTTTAGTCTCATTGGTAATCATACCTTCACTGTGGTTTGCTTTCTAATAAAAGCCCTTACAAGTCATCAAATGCATCCTCATACTTCTGGGTTGTTTCATTCAGTCATTTAATATTGTTTTAATTTCATTTAGATTTTGAGCTTTAATCATTTATATGATTGGTCAAACTGTACATTTTAAGATGTCAAGGAAAAACTGAATTAAAGTTATACTCTATACATCGGTTACCCATTATATGATTTTTTTAATCATTATTTGCAACTTCACACATGTTGTAGTTCTCTATGCAGTCTCTTTATGCAGTCTATTTCAGCTTCTAGTGCTGTACATATCTACATCTTCCGGATGAGACTGCCCATGATCCATAAGCCTGGGGTCAGGTATAAATTGTGTAGCACCTGATGAATATTAAAATGAAAAAAATAGTCATTTACAAAATTAATTTTGGGGACTGTGAACATAGTAATGAACAATACAGATAAAAATCTCTACTGACATGGATATAACATTCAAGTTGAGTGAGACAGACAATAACTTATATAAAGCATATATCATGGGGGTGAGTGCTATGCAGAAAAATAAAGCAGGGAGAAACATGGAATATCTGGGTGATTTGAAATTTTATAGGTTGGATAGTGAAAGTCTTCAGAAAAAGCCAAAAACTCAGGATGTGTGCCATGACTATATCTGCAGAAATATTTTCCAGGATGAGCTGACAGTAAACATAATGGACCCAAAACATGTCTGAGGAACCAAGACAGGTAGACCAGTAGAAAAGATTGTGTGTGTGTGTGTGTGTGTGTGCGTGTGTGTGTGTGTGTAGGGGACCCTGATTGAAAGGAGACATGATCAGGCTGGGTCACAAAGAGCCATGGTAAGGATTTTACCTTTCATTTTAAATGAGATGAAAAACTAGAGGACAATTTTAAGTAAAGGAGTGACACAGTCTTATGTTTTTAACAAGATCACTTTCAGCTAGAGAAAAGAGACCATGGGGAAAAGGGTACAGGGAAGGAGATCAGTCAGGAAGCAAATGCAGTGCTCCAGGAAAAATGCTGAGGTCTTTAAATAGGGTGATAGCAATGGAGGTGGTGAAAGGAATTAGATTCTAGAGATAGAATGGACAGAGTTTCCCAAATGGATTGAATATATTATGTGAGAGAGGCTTATTTATCTTGAGAAACTGGAAGAATGGAATTGACATTTACTGAAATAGGAAAAAGTGTGAGGGAAGCAGGTTTGAAGGAAAACTAATAAAATGTATTCTTAGATGTGTTAAAACTTGATTTCTCTTACTAAACATCTGAGTAAAAATGTTGTATAGGCAGATAGACCTATGAATCTATTGAGTTCAAAGGAGGCCTTGACTGGCTTATAAATTTTATAGTCATAGCCTATATATAGCATTTAAAACTATGGGACTGCATGAGATCATCCATAATCAGAGAAGTTCAAGGCAGGATCCCTTTGGATACTCCAGCTTTTTAAGGTTAAGAAAATTAGGAGAATGTCACAGAGAAGACTGAAAGAAAAGCTAGTCAGTGAGGTAAGAGAACCAATAGTAAATGATATCCCACAGGCCAAATGAAGAGATTATTTTAAGGTCGAGGGAGTATAACCTGAATAAATGTTATTGATATATTGCATTAGTTGGAGCCAGAACTCCTGGATTTGACAATATGTGGATCAACAGTGATTATAACAAGCTTATCATGTACTATGCAAAATGCTAAGTTATTTTCATGCACTGTCTCATAAAATCATCATGAGGTGAATGCTATTTTTATACATCCACATATAATGGCATATTGATAAATGGTGAACCACATTACAATGGTGGTTACCTAATATTATAGTGTAGGTAAGAATTTTCTTTTACTTAGTGACATCAAAGTACAACACATTATACACATTTTTCGTGATGCTGATGTAAAAAAAACCTACCTCCTGGTGGTCAAATAGAATTATAGCTATATAAGATCATATGTAATAAATACTTGATAATAATGCTATTTAGTTAATATGCTATACTTCTAATCATTATTTTAAAACAAACTCATAAAAGTGTTTACTGTAAAACAGTATGACATGTTATGGCAGTAGTAGTCTCATATGTCTTGTACTTAACATATCCCTTGATTGTATCAAGAGGACATGTCAAGTATTAATCTATACCACCTAAGTTTATATAAGTGTACACTATGATTTTTCACAAAATGGTAAAATCATCTAATGTCACATATCTCAGAATAGATCCCTACAGTTAAGCAATACATAACTGTATTATTCTTTTACAGATAAGGAAAGTTCAATTTAGAGAGGTTAAGTAACTTGAATAATGTCACCCAACTGAAAATGTAATGCAACCAGGACTGAGTCCAAATTTGTTTAACCCAAACACAACAAACTTGTATATTTTGTAATATGGTATTAGAGTAATAACAATCTCATATAATTATTTTTAGTATTAAGTAGGACAATGGGTACAGAGCATTGCATATAATACCTTGGGCGTAGTAATTACATAATGTTTCTTCTGAGCACTGTTTTATTTAAAGGAATTTTTTTCCAAAATGTTATTTGTTTTAAAATTATTTTATTACATTTGGGAATCACACATTGTTTTCTATAGGATAATTAAATTTCAGTTTTATAACAAAAACAAAGGGGAGAAACATATTTTAATACATTGATTTCTCTTACTTTCATCTTTTTAGGAATGTTTTCTATTTTATAATGTGAGAAACATGATAACTTCATCATCAAATATATTCAAAAAATAACCAGATAATATGTAACCATTATCCATAATAGTAATACAGTTCTCTGTAGATCAGGAATTCTTAATGTGGTGTCCCTTTGGAGAGTGTATGTTAGGACTCATGTGATCTATTAAATGGCATGGGGAAAATTTTTATTTATGTTAACTGATGTCTGAAAATAGATATTTTCTTCTTCAATAATGAACATATACTTAAAAAAAACCATGATAGCATTAGCAGTGCCTTGCATTTTGTCACCAATAAAAATCACAGATGTTTTCATATCACATTACAGTTGCAGATCATCTAAGAAATCTTCACACAACTACTTGAAAATTGTGGTACTACTGAACCTATTATTAGATATTGTTCAATCTATTTTAAAAAGATCACATATTACTGTATATTTTACGTATTCTATTATTTCATTTGAAAACATTTTGAGAAGAAATTTCAGCACATAAATGGTTAAGAACCTGCTAAAAAGACTTTCTCAAATATCCTTACTGCCACCTTGTGGAAATTATTGCTCAGTTCAAGAAAATAGTGAGATGAAATAATTTTCTCCTTTCTCAAGCTAACATACTATCAGTAGGCATATGACAATATTATGTCTTTATGTGTCGAATCTGCTTACTAATATCCATAAATCAACTAAGTCCTCTAGCACTTTTACCCACTTCCTTAATATATTGTTTGTCCAAAGTCTTGTCAAATATTCACCTCACTCAAACTTCCTGGATTAGAAAGGTCCTTTTGAAGTCAGGTCTCCGTCCCTTACAATTTCTTAAAAGGCTTCAAGATTTTAATTTATACATAGCTTAGGTCAGAGATTAAAAATTAGATAAATATACATCAGAATTCCCTCTGGAGCTTTTTCTAAAATCAATCATCTTGTAGATCTCAACTCTGGAGATTCATATTTATAATTCTTCAGTAATGTCTGGGAATGTTGAAAACAAGACAAAATCTCAAGTAATCATGGTACAGAATCACTTTGCCTATGTTATTTTATTTCTGTCCTTTATAAAATCTTCATTTCATGCTTTTCTGAAGAATTAAGGAATATATTTTCCTCTTAGAAATTTCTTCATCCCTTGAATTAATCAAGATCTCTCTTTTCCCTCCAAAAGGATGGAGTCATAATAAAATTCTTCTTGAATTTCAATGCCCCAGTAATTGTTGCACTTTACTTCATATCTTATTATATTTTTATCACTAATAAAATTCTATTTTCTGTTTAAAGTTTCTTAGTAGACTTTTGGACAGATCACTAATAAATTTTTGAGCGAAGTCAGGATTGTCAGCAATTCTATTTTTCCTTCGTGCATATAAAACCAGGTTGATATTTAACATTCAGCTTCTCAGTAATCCAAACTAGTGTTTGATTGAGCAAAGTACTTTCTCATATTTTGTTCTATATTTTCTATTTTTTTCTCTCTGTGCTTCAGTTTGCTGGTTTTTGTTGACTTTGAGTTTATCAATGCTGTCTTCTGTATACAGTGTACTATTAAACCCCTCTTAAACTACAACCTAGCCAAATAAGCTCATTTCAGGTACTATTTTTCATTTCTAGAATAAAAACTTGATTTTAATAGATTTCAAGACTGTTAAATTTTATAATTTTCATCCCTTTGTCCATCATTTTTTCCAATTAACATATTAGGTTTAATTAATGTAAAGTTGATTTCTGTGAACTTCCAATGTACAAGTCACCTGTAGGTCTACTACTATTGTTTTATATATTTTCTCATTTAATTGTCAGTCATATCTTCCTGTCTCTTTGCATGACTACTATTTCTGTTTGTTTGTATGATGGACACTGTGTATAAAATAACTAAAAAAGTTCCAGAAAATACCATCTACCAGAAAGGGTTCTAACTTTCCTCTTTGAAGAATGGTGAAGCACTCAATCCCATTAGGCACTGAGCTGGGTTTGGCTGGGTTGTGGTTTAAGTAAGTCAGAACTCTGGTTCCTCCATGCTTGGCTTCTAATTGACAGCCTGACAAGTTTCTGTCACTTTAGCACTGAAAGGCTGCAGGAAATCTGGTTTTGTCCTTCAGAGGATTTGAGGTTGGCTATTTAATCTCATGATACACACAAAAAGTCTGGCAATCATGAGGGGGAGTAAGTTGTGTATATGTGGCATACCTGTAGAACAGGAATTGGCAAACCTTTTATACAAAATATTTTCAATTTTGTGAACCATGTGGTATCCACTAAAACAGCTCAACAATGTTACTGTATTGTGAAAGCCACTATAGAAAATACATAAATGAATGTGTCTGTATTATTGAAACTTTAATGCACCAATACTCATAAATTTGAATTTCACGTAATTTTCACTTGTCATGAAATAGTATTCTTTTGATTTTTTTCAGCAATTGAAAACATATAAAGCAGTCTTAATTTGTAGACTATACAAAAACAGGCAGGGAGTCACATCTGGTACATGTGTCATAGGCTGTCAACTGCTGCTTTAAGGGACAATATCCTGTAAGACTATGGAATATTTCATTCTGCTTTCATTACTTTAAGAAGTCCATGATATCAACTTTCCAAATTTGTGATTCCCAAAATAGTATAATTTCCACATTAAACATGTAAAGGATGGTAGGAAACAACCAAACCCATATTCAGAGAAATAGTAATACAATCAGTACACACTCAATCTGTTCTGTAGGTGTTAAGTGTTGGCCATAGCTGGGCTCACTAGCTAGTGATCAATAAGGTATAGTCAATGAAAATTTGTTTAATGGCAAAATAGCTAATTACTCTAAGCCAATGATAATGTCGACGACTACTACTACTACTACTACCTACTACTACTACTACTACTACTACTTCTACTACTTCTACTACTACTACTTCTTCTTCTTCTTCTTCTTCTTCTTCTTCTTCTTCTTATTATTATTATTATTATTATTATTATTATTACCAGGAATGGAACACAGAGCACTTAACCACTGAACCACATCCCTTGCCCTTCTATTTTATTTAGAGAAAGGGTGTCCCTGAGGTGCTTAGGGCCTCACTAGGTTGCTGAGGCTGGCTTTGAACTCAGGATCCTCCTGCCTCAGCCTCCCAAGCCACTGGGAGTACAGGCATGTGCCACCATACCCAGCTGATGATATCCTTTACTACTCATTGAGACCTTAGTATGTGCCTGACATTATGCTTGGTGCTTTACATGCAATATCTTATTTAATACTCCCAAAAGCCATGTGAAATCTATTATTGTCCCTCTTTCATGGATGAGGAGACTGAGGCTAGAAGTGATAGGTAACTTACCCCAAATAAAAGAACTATTAAATGCTGCATTTGGCATTCAGATTGAAGTCTTATTCCAACTCTATAATCACAGTTACTACTTTTTTCCCATATTACAGAACTTTGGGATTACATGTGAAATGTAGAAATGGTCAATGTCAAGGGTGGGATAATCAACTCTGTATCTCAGAGTTGATTATTGTTAATGACTGAATATTTTTGTCTCCCAAATTCCACATGTTGAAACCCTAACCACTAACGTGATGGTTTTGGGAGATGATGTCTTTGGGAGGTAATTAGGATTAGATGAGATATTGAGGGTGGAGCCCTCAAGAATAGAATTAATGTCCTTTTAAGGGTTCTAAAAGCTTGCTTCCCTCTGTTTTGTAGGCAGTTGACTTGTAGTATCCTCAAATGGCAGAGAGAATACTACAAATCAACAGAAGAGGGCATCCACAAGAACCTGACTATGCTGGCAACCTGGTCTTGAATTTTCATCTACTAGAATGTGAGAAATTTATGTCATAAACAACATGGTCTGTGGTACTTCTTTTTATACCAGCCTGAACTGAGACATATATAACAAGAATGAATAGCACTGGCATCACTCTCTCCCTCTGCATTTCTCCTAAGAATGCTTATCATATACGACACTGGCAAAAATAGATAGTTAAAGGATTCCAGAGTTTAGATAAGTAAAAAGAAGATACTAGCTAGATATGATTTTGGTCCCACTTTTAAGTTATAGTATGTATCATCTTTACCAGGATACTTGGAATAGACAGCCATTTAAAATATAATTGGATACATTACATGCTTTGGGAATATGGTTGGCTGTGGGTTAGAAAGTCTAAAAACTAAAACTTAATCTTGAATAGAAAGGAGTGTCAATAGAAGAAAATAAAAAAAACTCAAATCAGGTTTGTTATTTGGTGACAGTTTTTATAAAGATTAAGTGTAAGCAGGGGGCTGAAATTAGAAACTAAAATTCTGGTTTAAAATTAGAAAAACTATATACAATGGAAAGAGTTTGGTCTTTGTTGTCAGGAAAATCTAGGGCTAGAAACAACTCTGCTACTTAAAAGCTGTATTTATTGGAACAAGATATTTAAGCTCCCTCATTCTCATCTTTTCATCAACTAATGGGAATAATTACTGCTACATTAGAGTTTTGTTTTGTTTTTATTTGTAGATGAGAATTAAATAACAATATACTTACAACACTTTGCATTACAGTACGTGCTTGATAAAGGGTAGATATTACTGGTATTTTCTACTTCTCCATCTCTGAGTTGGGTCATATTTTATTAGCAATGAGACATCTTAGTGGGTTGAATCATTCACATTATACACACAGATAAACAGATATACAAACCAGTTATTGGAAACTGTTTTTTAATATTTTTATATTTATATTTGCCAATATTGAATACTAGCAAAGTTATAAGTATAGTAATTTGTACCACTTATATTATTTGATGCTGTAATTTCTCTTGGCACCTAAACTTAATAAAAATAGAGGTGGTAGAAACTTAAGATTGACAAAGACTGACAGGCAAGTAACACAAGAATAGAAACTAATATTTCTTTATGTAGGCATGACTCATACCTGTATACTGAGGGAATCCAGAAAGGTACATTTTCCTTCTCCTGACAAAATGGCTCACATTTATAAAGTGATATTAAAATGCTTTATGCAATCAACCTGTCAGCGCCACTCTATGCACCCACATACAATGATCTATATTATGAACTAAGGGGTTATTTAAAAAAAGACAGTTACCCACAACCTAAAAGGAAATACAAACTACATGTATGAGAGAGAAAAAATTGTATGAGAAAAACACATAAGTTCAGACTAATTATAATGCTACAACATTATTTAATTAAAGAAAGGAAATGAAATTGAACTATTCCAAACAAACCTGAGATGGATTCTGATTTGGTCTTTGTTTTAGAGCTGAGTTCTGTTGGCAAAAGCACTGAATGTTTCTGGACATGAGTTGTTTTTTCAAGTATTTCATCAGAGTTGCTTAGCTGTTTACCAAAAAAGATTTTTCCATCATAAGTAGATCATTTTAATAAGAAAATATCTTAAAGAAATATAGTATATCAATTTACTATGATTCCTTTATCTATTTTTATTATATCATTTACCTATGTCCAATACCCCCATTACAAGCCAATACCAACCCAAACAAAACTCGTATTTAACTTGTTGGTTCCTTTTAAACTCTACCTTATTTCTTTCCTTAGGTTCAGGGAGTGATTCTTTTTTGTTGCTTTTTGTCCATAAGGATTTAAATGCTTCATAAATTTGCTGGCTGGTAGCATATGCCTTTTTTCCAGTTACCTAATTTAAACAAAAAATGAGTCAAAAACTATATTTTTAAAAGTTAAAATAAAAATATTTTAAAATTAATATCAGGTATTTTATATAAACATCTAGGTTAGAAAGAAATCAATAGGGAAAATATAAAACTCTAAATCATATAACAAAGCACCATTTTCAAAATCTTATATGAAAAATTTCTTTCTTATATAAGAGGCTAATAAATGTATAATTTGCATATATACTATAACAAGTTAATTGTAAATTATGTGTATTTTATTATTATTTTTTCAACAATGGAGATTAAAACCAAGACTTTGTGCATAGCAGTTGCATACTCCACAAAGTGAGATCCCCAGACTTATTTTACTGTGTTAAAAATATTTTTCCAGTTTTACTGAGGTGTAATTGACAAAACAAAATTATATCTAAGATAAACAACATAGTGTTTTGCTATATCCTTTTATAATGATTCTTGCAGTTAAGCTAACTAGCCAATTCCCTCACACAGCCTCCATGCATGTGCTGATGTGTGTGTGTGTGTACATGTGTTCATGTGTGTGTGTATGTGGTATGTTTTGAGAACCCTTAGGATACACTCCCTCATGAAATTTCAAGTATTCAATACATTATTATTCTATAATTGACTTGCTATACATAGATCTCCAGAACTTTCTCATCTTATAACTGAAAGATTGTCTTTTAACCAACATCCCCCCATTTCCTTTAACCTCTGAACCTTTGGCAACTACAGTTTTACGATCTGCTTCTATAAGTTGAACTACTCTAGATTCCATCAGTGATGCCATACAACTTTGTATTTCTGTGTCCTGCCATTTGTAACAATGTGGTTGATCTTGGGAAACCTTATGTTAAGTGAAAACTACGTCTATTTATAAAAGTTTGGGGAAAATAATTTGAAATAATAAACAGTTGGATGGAAATATGAGATTTTGAGACTTTAAAGTTGATGCTTTTCTTAAACTTTTACGGCACTTTCTCCATTCACTAAGAAAGTAACTAATTTCTCCAGAGAAAAATAATATTTTGGGTAGAAAGATAAAATACAAATACACTAAAGCAGAGGCTAGAATTCCTAAAGTTGCTGTTACTTGCATTCATAGTAGTTTCCCTTTGAAAATCTCTTTTGGGTTCCTTCTTATTCCTTTTTCATCCTTTTGTTCCTTGTGGCTAAAGTAAATTCAAGAGTTATTAATCTTTTTAAATAGCTTTGTTTATTTATTTTTATGTGGTGCTGAGGATCAAACCCAGTGCCTCACACAGGCTAGGCAAGCACTCTATCACTGAGCCACAACCCTAGCCCAAGAGTTATTGATTTTTCATTGGGAGATTTCCAAGATTACACTTTCTACAAACATGTTTTTTTAAAGCTATCTTTTTCTCACTCAAGTAGAAAAGTTTCTCCTATTTTCACTAAGTATATACTACACTTACAAAATTAATCAATATATTGGGATAAAGAAAGTCTTCTTCCTCTCCCAATATAAACTTTGTTAACAGTTATATATTCTTCCTGAATTTTTATTATTATGTATATTATACACACACACACACACACACACACACACACACACAATTGCCTCCTTATCTGTGGGGGATATGTTCCAAGATCTCTAGTGGATGCTTGCCACTGAACCTTATATATAACTAATATATAAATGTATAATGTGTGTATATATATATATATATATATATATGTGTGTGTGTGTGTGTGTGTATATATCCATCCCTATGTAATTGCATATATATTTTTTTCCATATAGATATCTGTGATAATATCTAATATATAAATTAGGCACAGTAAGATATTAACAAAAATTAATAAAGCAGAACAATTATAATATAGAAGTTATGTGGAAGTTCTTTATTCCATCTAAGTAGTGCCAACACCACTTCTCTTCTGTTTTGAGATCATCATTAAGCAAAATAGGAATTACTTAAACACAAGTAGTGAGGTATTATGACAGTTGACTTGCTAACCTAGATGGCTACCAAGTGACTAAAGTGACTAACAAGTGGGTAGTGTTATAGCATATACATTGGTTAGGTAGTAGCTATCTCATGGAAGGAGATTAAAAAATTACCAGGGGACTAGGAAAATAATAATCAAAAGTGCCATATGTATAGGCAATTTTTCTCTTATGATGAAAATGGCAGCTTTCCTTGCTTCTTAGCTGCCTTTCTGATAAAAGTGTCACTTTTAAATGCAAGCTGCTGTGATACATACAACACTGTTTTCTCTTTTTTTATACGTTGGGATTATGCTCTTTCAATAAGTTCCTCCTTAAATGATTTTCTCTTCTCTCCAGATGGTCACAGGGAAGAAAAATGGAAAGATCCTAAAAGAACAAGTTTTTTTTTCTTAAAAACCTTTTTCTGAGGACTTCACAGGCTCCCACATTCTTTAAATATTTGGGCTGAATCTAATCTGATCCAAAAGTGCACTCTGGTTTGATAAAGCAGTTCTATATGCTCCTTTTCTAGAGTAATTATGGCCATGCCATTTTTTTTGTCTTTGTCTTTTTCTGAGCTCAAGTTTTTTAAATGATAAATTCATCTTCTCTCCTGAACAAATTAGTCTTTTTTTTTCTAACTGAATTTTATTGCCCTCTGTTTTTCTTTCTGCTGTTTTTATTCAGTGGCCAGTTATTCAAGGGTTAACCCTCAAATATACTAGAAAAAGAAAGAGACTTCTTTTAAAGAGTCCTAAGCAGGAAAAATAAACCCTAGTAATGGTGGGAGTAAATCTGCTTGATGAAGGATAAGTGATCAGCTGAACCTTTCACATCAGCATCCAGAATGGCAGATAGAATTTATTCTTAATGTTCATAATTTCACAGGGTCTATTTTAGTTTGTAAATGGTTAAATATGACAGTCTGTTTAAGAAACCTTTATAGTTTTTTTAATCCTACCTTTGGAAGTCATACCGGGAAAAAAGCTATAAAATCTTAGTTTCCTGTTGATCTTTATGTCTAGGTATGCACACATCTTTTTTATATTGTATCTGCATGTGCACTTGTGTCTGTGTATCATGTACATGGTACCACAACTGGCATATTGATAAATGAGCACTCATGAATTTTTAAAAATGGATGCAAATAACTTTCAGTTCCTGTGACTTAAAATGATTAGAGATAAAAATAAATATGCATTTAAATCACTAACCCACACATTTTTTTTCTCTAGGTGATCAGTCAATGAAGACTGTTGTTTTCTATCAAATATTTGAAGTGTAATATCCATTGCTTTTAGGTTTTTCTTTTTCAACAGAAAATAACATGGCTTAAAATGTTAACTAGACTTGGTTTTCATAGGTAACCTAAGTTAAAAATGAGTAAATCTGATTTAACATAAATAAGTTAACCATTTATAAATGTGTTTTAATAAATTATTAGTCAATAGAAAGGGTTTCAGATTGCTTTATTTCTGGGTCTTCAATAAAAACAAGATGATTGAGGGATAAAATTCTACTTTCTTGTATTCCTGTCAGATTTAGCCATTTACAAACTAAAATAGACCCTGTGAAATTATGAACATTAGGAATAAATTCTATCTGCCATTCTGGATGCTGATGTGAAAGGTTCAGCTGATCACTTATCCTTCATCGAGCAGATTTACTCCCACCATTACCACGGTTTATTTTTCTTGCTTGGGACTCTTTAAAAGAAGTCTCTTTCTTTTTCTAGTGTATTTGAGGGTTAACCCTTGAATAACTGGCCACTGAATAACAAGCTAGTGTTAATAAAAAACCTATAAGGAAAAAAGTATTTTATTTCATTATAGTATATTTTGTATAAATTCATAAATTTTCAAAGATTGTTTTAAAATCTAAACTTAAAAGGTCAGTAATTAAGAAAGAAATGTAAGAAAGTTATAGGTATGAAAATATATTATGGTAAGAAAAATGAAAGGGGAAAGAAAATATTTCTGGATGAAAAAAGTATCTGGTAGTATAGGTATTATTTTTGTCCTAAACTTCAGGATAAAATTGAGGACAAAATTAAAGATAAGAACTGGTTGTGAAATGTCTATGTAAACTACAAAAGGTTCATAGAAGATAAATCTAAAAAGTTTGTGTGTGATTAAGTTGTCTATAAGCAGCACAGTTAGTTAAACTTAAGGGTTTTCCCCCCATAAGGTCAACTATTAATAAATTAATATAAAACAAAGTCTAATTCTCTATTTAAGAACATTAAGGTTTTCTTAAAACATTTATCTGCTCTTATCAGGATGATCTGTTGTGTCTGCTAAGCTTTATTACGTAGGGGAATTTAAGTCTTAAAGGAATTTGGGTTTTTAATGGCTTTGAAATCTTTTAAATGATTACTTCATAATTGGTTAGTAAACAACTGGTATTTTAGGTAATTGCAATATAGTTAACATTCTAAATATATGCAACTAGAGATATGTATACATCTGAGAACTAAATATGTTTGTCTAAGCCTTGTAAAAGTTTATAAAATAAAAGTTTACGTAGGTTTATAGGCAATGTAACCAGTAAGTGCTCTCTTTGTATCTTACAGAAAAGGACCACATTGCCATTTAAAAACATAGCTTGCATCTGTTTGCTTTAAGTACAGCAATGCTTCATTGTTATATAAATGAGATATATTTATATATAAAATAATAAGCCTATTTGTGATAACTGAGTTAAGACTTTGCCGTTCACCTTACTTCATGTTAAGATGGCTCTAAAGTAGGTCAGAATTAAATTTATTTAAAGTTGTTTTCAAAAGACATATGTTTGTTATAAAGATAACTGTGATCGCAAAATAAACAAGGGATTTGATACAAAATTACATAAATATTTTGGTAAACTATAAAAGGTATTTAAGGTTATAAGAGTGTTTTAAAAGAAAATAAAACTTGAAAAGGTTTTCATAAGTAATTAAGTTCATAAATTAACGGGTCTTTTGAGAGGATAAATAGATATCAAATATACTTTAGTACTACTATAGAGATTATGTTTCTTACTTTATAGTTACTATACAAACTAGCT